AATGGGGCGTGGCTAAGGGCAGGGGGTGGGGCTATGGGCAGGGGGCGGGGCTATGGGAATGGGGCGGGGTTATGGGCAGGGGCGGGGCCTCGACAGGGGGCGGGGCAATGGGCAGGGGCGGGGCTATTGGAATGGGGAGTGGCTAAGGGCAGGGGCGGCGTTATGGAAATGGGGCGTGGCTAAGGGCAGGGGCCGGGGTTATGGAAATGGGGCGGGGCTAAGGGCAGGGGGTGGGGTCTCTGCAGAGGGGGTGGAGCCTGGAGGTGCTCGGGGGCTCTCAGTGTCCCTGTCCCCGGTTTGGGGACACTCTCAGTGTCCCTGTCCCCGGTTTGGGGTCCGGCTCTCCGTGTCCCTGTCCCGAGTTTGGGGACCCTCTCTCCGTGTCCCTGTCCCGAGTTTGGGGACCCTCTCCCAGTGTCCCTGTCCCCAGTTTGGGGACCCTCTCTCAGTGTCCCCGTCCCCAGTTTGGGGACGCTCTCTCAGCGTCCCCATCCCCAGTTTGGGGACCCTCTCTCAGTGTCCCTGTCCCCAGTTTGGGGACGCTCTCTCAGTGTCCCCGTCCCCAGTTTGGGGACCCTCTCTCAGTGTCCCCGTCCCCAGTTTGGGGATGCTCTCAGCGTCCCTGTCCCCAGTTTGGGGACACTCTCTCAGCGTCCCCGTCCCCAGTTTGGGGACGCTCTCCCAGTGTCCCTGTCCCCAGTTTGGGGACCCTCTCTCAGTGTCCCTGTCCCCAGTTTGGGGTCGGGCTCTCCGTGTCCCTGTCCCCAGTTTGGGGACACTCTCAGTGTCCCTGTCCCCAGTTTGGGGACCCTCTCTCCGCGTCCCTGTCCCGAGTTTGGGGACACTCTCTCCGTGTCCCCGTCCCCAGTTTGGGGACGCTCTCTCCATGTCCCTGTCCCGAGCTTGGGGACACTCTCTCAGTGTCCCCGTCCCCAGTTTGGGGACACTCTCAGTGTCCCTGTCCCGAGCTTGGGGACCCTCTCTCAGTGTCCCCGTCCCCAGTTTGGGGACCCTCTCTCCGTGTCCCTGTCCCCAGTTTGGGGACGCTCTCCCAGTGTCCCTGTCCCCGCAGGTGACGCGCTGGTGCTGTCGCAGTCCGGCCTGCGGACCCGCTGGCTGGTGGCCCTGGCGGCGGCCGCGGCGCTGCCCGTGGTGCCGGGGGTGGTGGCCGGGCTGGCCCTGGGGGCCGCCCCCGCTGCCCGCTCCTGGCTGGCGGCCGTGGGTGGGGGCTTCCTGCTGCACCTGGCGCTGTGCCACATGGTGAGTGGGGGACATGGGACATGGGGACAT